AACAAACCCACTCTGGATTGAGACGTTTTCACCAGAAACATGCGGGATGACAAGTTCGATGAAACGTCACACAGGACGTACCCATGTTCATTACATGGGCACGCGCTCATAGGAAAAGCTTCCCGAGCCGCAGCGGGTGCAAGACAGGCTATGGCTCACTGCCGCACGGATCCTCGCATCGGCTGTCCACTCGCCGACCGGTCTCAAACGTGGCCCTGCTTGGCCCGCGCCCGAAGCCCTGAATCCCTCCCAGACGAAAGATCAAATCCCTCGGGGAAGCAGCTTTTGCTTCCTTTTTTTTGTTGAACGCGACTCCCTTTGCCTCGGAAGTTTTGCGGGGGCACCAGCACTACCGTGAAAACGACACGGCGCGTTTCAAAATCGGAAACGAGGCCCTGGAACGGACAGCGGGCTCGGGAAGCTTTTGCTTCCGCCGGCTTCCGCCCGCCTGCCGCCCGCCTCCGCCGTCGGGGCCACCCACTGCCTTGCTGCCGCCGGCTTCCGCGCCGGGCCTCCGACGGTCTCCGCAGGAGGTCTGATTGCCAACTTCTCGATGCCTGGAGCGCCCCAGCTTGGCAGAGCTCCTGGAAGCTGTGCCCAGCTTCCGCTGATGATGAGACCGAGGTCAGGGTCAAAGATCGCGCGACCGTTCGCGGACAAAATGCCTCGAACCTCCCCCAGGGGTGGCAGCCCCTTGACTCCCGAACGCTGCCGAGACGGCAGCCCTGCGCTACCGAAGCCTTCAGCAGTGTCAGGCGGTGCTGCGCGCAGCAGCTTGGAGGCGCCCCGCTGGAGAGCCGACCGACGGCCGTCCGCGGGCGTGCGCGAGCACTGAAGAGGGGGCGGAGCGGCGAGGGGATGCAGCACCCGTCGTGTCTCAGGCCCTCCCTTCCCTGCTCGCCTGTCCGCTTCGTCCCCTCGCTTCGTTCCTGCGAGCCGCCCTCCTCCTCCTCCGCCTCCTCCTGCTGCTCCTGCTCCTGCTCCTGCTCCTGCTCCTGCTCCTGCTCCTGCTCCTGCTCCTGCTCGTCCTCCTCCTGCTCGTCCTCCTCCTCCTCCTCCTCCTCCTCCTCCTCCTCCTCCTCCTCCTCCTCCTCCTCCTCCTCCTCCTCCTCCTCCTCCTCCTCCTCCTCCCTCTCCTCCCTCTCCTCCTGCTCAGAGGGCCATGCGGACGCCAGAGGCAGAGCGGCAGGAGGCCCAGCAGCCACAGGAGGTCAGGCGCCCACGGCGCGGCCCCGACAGACACGAACGGCGGGGCGCGAAGCCATCGGGAAGCCATGCAGAGGCCAAGCCACAGGAGGCCACGGGCGGCCAAGCTCTCCCGGCCCGGCCCCGGGCACACGGGGTCAGTTCCTTGGACGGCCCCGAGCTCTCACGGCCCGACCCCGAGCTCTCACGGCCCGGCCCCGGGCACACGGGGTCAGGTCCTTGGAGCACACGCAAGGAAGTTCACATTGTGGAAGCACTGTTCGGAGGAGTCACGGAAGGGGCAATAGTGGTTACAAGTAAAAAGGACTAGATCGTGGTTGCACTCATCGTGGTAGCACTACTTTGTGGTCATGGCAGCAGGAGTCACCGTGGTAGTTATAGGGGTGGGGTGGTGGCAGTAACGATCGCAGTCGCAATCGTAGTGTAAGATATCGATGGTGATGATGATAATGTGCCAGAGGCTGTCTTGTGCAGCGCTGCGCTGTGCCGCGCCGCACGTGACGTGCTAGGGGACGCGCCAGGGGACGTGCCAGGGGACGCACCGCGGGACATGCCAGGGAGAAGCGCTACGGAACGTCCCAAAGAACGCGCCAGGGGAAGTGCCAGGGAACGCACCGCAGGACGTGCCAGGGAGACGCGCCACGGAACGTGCCGGTAGACGTGCCAGGGGACGTGCCAGGGGATGCGCCGCGCGACGTGCCAGGAGGACGCGCCACAGGACGCGTCACAGAACGTGCCAGGGAACATGCCAGGCAATGTGCAAGGGGACGTGTCAGGGGATGCGTCAGGACGCGCAAGGGGAAGCAAAACACAGGGTTTGGACTCCTCGTGCCTCATGGAGCCTCCCGGGACCTCCTGGGCCCTCCTGGGGCCTCCTGGGGCCTCCTGGGGCCTCATGAGTACCCCCTTTTGTTGTCGGTCGATCTCCTCCGAAATGGCCCCAAGATGACTCCCAAGAGGGCCCCAAAAGGGCCACAAGAAGCGCCCAGGAGGCCCTAAGCGGCCCGCTGAGAGGTCTCCAAGAGGCTCCCGAGAGACCTCCAAGGGGCCTCCAGGAGGCTCCCCAGAGGCACCCAAGACGCTCCAAGAGGCCCCTGGAACCGCCAAGAGACCCCCAAGACGCCCCCAGGAGACTCCAAGAGGCTCTCTGGAGACATCCGAAGAGACTCCGAGAAGCATCCGAGAGACCTCTTGCCTTTCTGCTCGCCCTCTTCCTCCTCCTCCTCCTCCTCCTCCTCCTCCTCCTCCTCCTCCTCGTCCTCGTCCTCGTCCTCCTCCTCCTCCTCCTCATCCGCCGATGTATCCTCCTCCCTCCGCCCTCCTCCCCCTCCCCCTCCTCCTCCTCCTCCGATTGCTCCTCCATCCTCCCCTCTTGGGATAGGGCCGCGTTCCCTCAGCCCTTTATTGCATTGCAGTTTCCTCCACATCCCTGATCAGGGCAACTCGCCTTGGCATCGTTCATGCATGGGCTGGTGGGGTTACTAAAATCGTCTGAAATAGTAGTACCAGTCGCAGTGATAGTATCAGCAGCAGCTGTACGAATGGTAATACGACGAGTAGCCACAGCAACAGTGGTATGATCAGTCGTAGTGGTGGCATGAATCGTAGTCGCGGTGACAGTAGTAGTAACAGTAGGAGGAGGAATAGGAGTAAGAGTAAGAGAAAGAGTACAGGTAGGAATAAGAGTAAGAGTACAGGTAAGAGTAAAGTAAGAGTAACAGTAAGAGTAGCAGTAGCAGTAGCACTATCATTAGCAATAGCAGTACCAGTAGCAATAATGGTAATTGTGTTGAGTCGTAGTAGTCGTCGAAGAAGAACAAGCATCAGCCGTGTTAGTAGTAAGTTGGAGTGTGTAGCATGTACCAGCATGCAACAACTAGAAACGACAACATACCATCTCATGTGTGATGGTTACTCGTGGGTAGTCCGCATGCGCAACCATAAGCGGTGCGCAATGGCAGGCAGCACGGGGATCTATTATGTGGTAGCAGTTCTCGACACATGGCAATATGCGACAGTAGCAGCTGTAGTAGTGCAAGTGGCTGTCATAATAAAAGTTGTAGCCGTCACAGTAACAGCAAATACTGGTGTGAGTCATATTCGGTTTAGCCGCTGTAGATGATATTAGTTCCAGGCACTAGTCGCTGGCAGTAGCAGCAGTACCAGTAACAGTACCATGAGCAGCGACGTAGCATGCGGAGGAGCAGGAGGAACAGTATTAGGAAGGGGAGCATGGGGGCAGTAAAGGAGAGTGGGGCTGGAAGCATGACACGGAGTAGGAGTGCCGTTCTTCGCGCCAAGATGTCAAAAACTACTCTGACCCTCAACAAAGTTAGCGCAAGGAATGCCGCGTGATGTTATAGCACTCCTCGCTCAAGAGCAGCTAACGCGGACTTAACAGCACGAAAATATTGCCACGTGCACTCAGCTTTCAAATAAATGCATACGACATACCACAAGCAAACACCTCAAGCACACGCATCCACCACGAACAACATACACCAAATGGTGCAAAGGCTGCACCGCTGAGAGTGGGAGCCGAAGCACGAGCAGTAGGTGTGGTAGTGCCACGGGCCCATGTGCAGCCGAATCGACGTCTTGCCGATCCACTGTCCATCATCCCCATGCCTCTGCCCCGTCCGATGTTTCTCCTCCTGCTCCTGCCTCCTCCCTGCTCCTCCAGCGGGCCACCCTGTGCCCACTGCCACGCTCGGGATCCTGGCGCTGAACGCGGTCAGGCCAAGCGCAAGGCCAAGTGCGAGATCACTTCTGCTCCTGCTCAGCTCCCAGCCGGCTCGTCTCGTTGCGGCCGGCCCGGACGAGAGGCTGGCCCTCCGCAGCCAGAGGAATCCGAGAGGCCGGGCGAGGGTTGAGAGGGGCATCGGGTCGAACGGCAGAACTCTGCCCTGCTGGAAGACTTGGCAAGACCGAGAGAGGCTTCGGTGGCAACTCACGGGAGCCTCCCACATCATCTTGTCGGCTCTTGCGAATCGACATTAATCGACGCTAAATCGATGCTAATCGACGCTGAATCGACGCTAATCGACGCTAAATCGGCGCTCTCATCGACTCCCAGACGCCAATTGACGCCAAAAACCGAATTACGAGGGTACACAAGACTCCCATGATTTGCCACTGAAAAGGCGACCCAGGCGGCACGCGTCTTGATTGCCCCGACGTGGCACCGAGCTGGCAAGCTCGCAGCAAATCTGGCGAGACTCGGCCAGGCGGCGCGCGCAGAGAACGGGCTGCTGAGTCGGGAATGGGCAGCGGAGAAGCTGGGTATCGTTGAAGGCTGAACGCCGTATGCCGTCCCTCCACTTGCGCTGAAGCGGCCGCAACTTGCTCCAACTGTCCTTCTGGATTTACCGATCTTGACCTGGACTCATCCGGATTGACATAGATTTACCTGCAATTTACCTTCATTCTAAGGAGCCGAACTCTATACACCGATGCCTTTCTCTGGCCTCACACTGAATCTCGCACAGGAAAGCGGATCCTGGTGTATACGGGATCCTGGTGTATTTCTTCGTTGTTTCCCTGGGAAAACGGGGAAACAAATATACACCACACCACCCCGACGTCGTCCCCGACCCTCAAAAAAGTCCTGGGAATGAAAAAACGCCCACCACTGGTAATGTATATGCTCCAGTTTCCGACATTCATCTGGCTTGATACCCACAAGTCGATTGGCGAAAAATCGGCAAGCCCTTGGGTCTGGTGCCGTGGAAAGCCGCTGGGAAAGCCTCGCGCAACCGTCCTCCGCCCGTGCGCCGGCCGCGCGCGCCGGCCGCGCCTGCGCGATGGCGAAACTGTATCCGGATGTGTACCTGCGCTCGGGCTCCGGTCTGAGCAGAAGCTCCACATGCCGCACGTGCCCCGAGGTCGCCAGACCGCTGTCACTGCATCGGGCCACTTCTCTGGGAGCAGGGCGAGTTGAGACAACAGCAGCAGCTCAAAATCGGTCCCCAGACTCGCCCTCCTCTGATTCCCCTGCCACCGCGTCAAATACTCACCTCGTGTTGTTCCAGGCCTGCTGTGGGATTTCATCCCCAGGAAAGTTCGAGCTCCCAGCTCCACGTGGGGCGCTCCAGAAAGAGCTTCGCCTTCAGGACTGACGGACTTAGCATCTCTTCCTCGGAGGGAAGTGGCGGAAGGCGGCGGAAGGCGGCGAAAATAAAACGGAGACGGCTCCGCCGGCGGAAGCTGGCGGAAAATTGGCGGAAGCTGGCAAACTTAACATTCCGCACCCCAAGAGGTGTCAACCTTTTTTTGGATTCAGGGTTTCTGGAACTGGGCACGTGCCTACCTTGCCGAGGCAAGAATGTTTGACCTTCTCCCTGGAAGTCCACTCCGCGCCCTGCTACGATACTCTCTTCTGGGGCCCCGAGGTCGCTCTGATCATCCAGCCTCAAATGGGCGACGAACAAAACTGGCCTGAGAAGACATACCTTACGCCGCGGCGTCTGCGGGCCGCCAGCGTAGCCTACCACTTGGACGAGAGGGCGCTCACGTGCGACCTTACGCGGGGAGCTTGCGCGCGAATGTCCGAAAAGTCGACCCCGTTGACTTCTGTGTCTCGAGTAAGTCTGAGTGTCGCAACACTCGCCCTCACCCACTCAACCCCTGGTGCCTTCCAATTTGCAATGGCCCCAATATCCCTAGGAGGCTTGGAAATGGGCACCAGCAACAACACCGGGGTCTGCTTCAACTGGGGGAAGCTGCTCCTAGATCTTGGTGATGGTGGTAAGATTTCGGCCACCTTGGAAGCCCGAATATTACCATCACCGAGATCGGGATCATCTTCCCTCGGTGGAAGCACACCGCCGATGTTGGTGTTGGTGTCAATGTCTAGGCCTCCGAATCCCACCAGCCCTCTGGATCAGTCCAGTCCCTCCTCCCCCTTCGGAGACAGCCTCTCCCCCGTGCCACCCCCCAGGGTCTGGGCGGGGAGGGGGGGCGGGGGGGGACGCATACGACCGCTCGGAGCGTGCAAACATCACCACGAGAGGCTCCGAGATGGCTCCAGGCAGCCCAAGTTGGCCTCGAAGAGATGGCCCAAGCTGGCACAGACACGAGCGCGTCTTTATGACTCGCGATGCTCCCCCCTCCCCCCCACCCGACCTGGTGACGTCACGGTTCGCGACGGCGCCCTTTGGGAATTGCCAGGGGGAACTAATTCCCAGGATGGCGCCAGTGCGAATCGTGACGTTACTGGACCCCTCGCCCCCCCTCCCCCCGCGGGTAACGACCGTTATCGCAAGAGCATCGAATGGGGCCCGAATTTTCTGCTTAAAGAAAGTCCGCAGAGCATGACTTCAAGAGGACCCCGGGAGGGTTCCAGGAAGCCTCCCAAGAGGCCCCAGTGAGGGCCCCAGGCTCCCAGATGCCTGCCGACAGCCCGAAGATGACCTTGAGGACAGCGCCAGGTGGCCCAAGTTGGCCTGGAAAGCTTCCTGCACGGAAAACAGCTCCGACTAAACATTACTTTTCAAGAGGGCCCCGCGTTGGCCCCAGGAGGCCTCCAAAGAGGCCACCTGCGGTCCGCAGGCTGGCCATTGCCGTGGGCTGCTCGAGCTGCCCCCAGCTTCGGTTGAACCAGGCCCACCCTCTTTCACGAGAGGGCCCAGGGACACACAAATAGGTAGACACGAATCCCAGGATCTGCTCGATGCTCGTCTTCCCCTCCACGTCCCACAGTTTCCCATACAGCCCTAGGAATCGACGTTTGTCTGTGTCTGCGCCGATTTTTCCCTCCTGATTTCACTCGTGCTCCCCCGCTACCCTTCTCACGACAATTTACCAGACCACCGCGACCCAACCCGAAGTCCTAAACTTCGGGTTTGGGGGGCGTAAGGTCTCCATCAATGTTTTTCAGATGTTCCGGGATGCCCCCCCGCTGGGAATGAAGGGTAACTTGGAGCCTTCGGGTTGGGCTGGGGTGGTGTTGTGGGTAGTGATTCCCACCACAACTCGCCCGGGAGTCTCACCTGGATGGTCAAGCGGGGGGCACATCCCTCCTCCCTGCTCCTCCGATGATCCTCCTCGTCTGCTTCCTCTCCCTCCTCTCTCTTCCTCCTCCTCCCCCCCTAATCGTCCTCCTCTTCCTCCTGAAGGACAGATGTGCCACGGGTACCGACCGAAGCGCAGGCCCGCGTCCATCATGTAGTTCGCACCTCGGGGGGCAACGCAAAAGAGTGGTCCACAGAAGTCAACGAAGCCATAACAAACCAAGGCAAGACTGTTGGACTGCTTCAGCAGCCTGGCCCCCGAGCGTCGAAAGGTGCCCGGGTCTGATCAGGAGCAGCCCCCAACAGAATGATCGACGCCCGCGGTGCGACAGGGCCGACCATTCTGAATTTGGGGCAAACGTGAGACCGCCCATGCTGATGATGATGACGAAGACGATGACGATGACGATGATGATGATGATGATGATGATGATGATGATGATGATGATGATGATGATGATGATGATGATGATGATGCTGATGATGATGATGATGATGATGATGATGGTGATGGTGATGGTGATGGTGATGCTGATGATGATGATGATGATGATGATGATGATGATGATGATGATGATGATGATGCTGGTGCTAGTGCTGGTGGTGATGATGATCTGGGCTGCGCCCTCTCTGCCCCCTCGGGGGCCCCTTCCCCCGGGCACCCGGAGCCCCCCCCCCCCGAGCAGAGAGCGGCCGAGCCCGCTCTCTGCACGCAACCCGGCAGGGCGCGCGGCAGCTGGGCCCTCGCCTGGGGGCGCCGAGGCGGTGCGGCGACGGCTCGCGCGGTGACCTCGGGATCCCCACGGAGGCCTCACCGCACGGTCCGTCGTCGCATCGCTTCGGGACCCTGGATGCCCCGGGTCGCCCGAGACGTCCTCGGAGACCGACCCGGGTCCCAAAACCGTGCGGCCGCCCCGAACGCTCACTGACTCACCACACCCTGAGAGCCGACGTTGCGAGAAAATGCAGCATCGTGAAAGATTGCGAGCGGAGCCCTGGACCCCGTCTTTCTACTCCAATGTTCGAGCCAGATCGGTCTGAGAGGGTCCCGGGGCCCCAACCCCGGCGAAAACGCTCGGCGCGGCAGAGCTGCAGCGCCAAGCTCTCAAGGCACGGTGTGGTCACTGCGCCAGGTGGGGGCCACCACCCAGCCCTCGGAGGGCGGCCGGCCCCCCGAGGAAGGCCCGCACGCAGGTTTGTCTGGCATCCTCGGGGGACCTCGCCTGCCCCATCGAGCCGCTGGCCGTGCCGAGCCCGCACCGGAGCCGCGCCGAAGCGGTGGCCACTCCGAATCGGACTCTTGCCGAAGCCCTGTCGAGCCCGCGTCGTGCGCAAAAAGAGGCCGCAAGTTTGCAGGACTGGCAGGCACCCCGGGGATGATGATGATGCTGCTGCTGCTGCTGCTGATGATGATGATGATGATGATGATGAGGATGAGGATGAGGATGCTGATGAGGATGAGGATGAGGATGCTGATGAGGATGATGATGATGATGATGATGATGAGGATGCTGATGAGGATGCTGATGATGCTGATGCTGATAACGATAATGATGGTGATGATGATGATGATGATGATGACGGTGGTGGTGCTAGTGCTGATGATGATGCTGATGGTGTTGGTTATGATGACCATGGTGATGATGATGATGATGATGATGATGATGATGGTGATAATGATGATCACAATGCCGATGATGGTGATGATGATGATGATGACGATGACGAAGATGATGATGATGGTGATGATAATGATGACGATGTCGATGGCAGTTATGATGGTGATGGTGCTGGTAATGATCAAGATGGCGGCGATAATGATGATGATGCTGGTGCTGGTGGTGATGATGATGACAACGAAGGAGGTGATGTTGAGGACGGTTATGACGATGACGATGATGATGCTGGTGTTGGTGCTGATGCTGATGATGATGGTGCTGCTGGTGCTGGTGCTGAGGATGATGATGATGCTGATGATGGTGCTGGTGCTTGTGCTGAAGATAATGGTGGCCATGACGGTGTTGATGATGACGATGATGATGATGATGGTGCTGGTGCGGTAGATGATGATGATGATGATGATGATGATGATGATGATGATGAAAACGGTGATGCTGTTCCTGGTGCTGATGATGATGATGATGATGATGATGATGCTGGTGGTGGTGGTGGTAATTATGTTGGCGCTGCCGATGATGACGGTGATAAGCATGCCCGTACTGATGATGATGTTGGTGCTGATGCTGATGCTGGTGCTGGTGCTGATGATGACGATGACGATGACGATGATGATGATGATGATGATGATGAGAACGATGACAAGTACGATAACGATGACGGCGATGATGATCATGATGGTCCAGGTGCAGATAAAAATGACGGTGATAATGATGATGATCATGTTGGTGTTGATGCGGATGATGATGGTGATCAAGGTGCTGGTGATGGTGATAAAGATGATGACTATGACGAGGATAATGAAGATGACGATGACAATGAAGATGGTGGTGGTGATGCTGGCTCTGGTGCACATGGTGATTATGATGGTGCTCTTGCTGATGATGGTGATGGTGATAATGATGTTGGTGCTGATGCCGAGAATTATGACGGTAACGGCAATGATGATGATGACGATGACGATGACGATAATGATGATGCTGCTGGTGCTGGTGACGATGCTGCTGGTGATGATGATGAGGATGATGACGATGACGATGACGATGGGATGATGATGATGATGGTGATGATGATGGTGATGGTCATGCTGATGGTGATGGTGATGGTGATGGTGATGGTGATGGTGATGATGCTGTTGGTAGTGATGATACTGATGATGGTGATCTCGATGATGGTGATGATGCTTGTGATGATGAGGATGATGTGGCTGATGATGGTGATGATGATGGTGATACACCCCCAAGACGAAAGCGGCCTGAAACGATGGTTTGAAGTCTTGCGCAGACGCGTATGAGATAACGGCCGTCGGATCCCATGAAGTTCGCGCGGATCCAATTGTGGTTTTGGTTTCTGTTGCGGTGGATCCGATTTCCGTCTGCGAAGATCCGATTTGGGATTTGCTGGATCCGCGTCCAGTCATAGTTTTACGGCGGATCCGATTTCTACCCCGTTGTAAATTTGCATTATTATACTCAAACGGCGAACCGGAAGAAATCGGATCCGCGGACCCCGAAACTGGCCCGTGTGAAAATTCTACGGGGGAGAGGGGTTCGGGCATCAACTGCCCAAGATCGGTCCTGTGCTGTCTCGTGCACTCCCACCAACTTTCCGGGCCCGGGGGCCCCACTCAACATGAATGCATCTCTCTCCTCCCGCCTGCTGCACGCGGCTCGTCCAGACGCCGTCCGTTTGGCGGCGCCGACGTTATATGTCGAACTCATCATCGCCATTATCATTTCAAGAGGAAAATCTTTAACCCTGCGTGAGTATGGGCGCTGGTGATGATGGTGGTGATGATGCTGACAATGATGCTAATTATGGTGATGATGATCGTGGTGGTGATGATGATGTTGTCGATGAGATGGTTGTGATGAAGGTAAGGATGGTGGTCATGATGATAATGCTGTTGATGAGGATCATGGTGATGGTGGTGATGATGGTTGATAATGACGAAAACGATGATGACGATACTGATCCTGGTGCTGGTGATGACGCTGGTGCTGGTGCTGATGCTGATGGTGATGATGACGATGAAGGTGCTGGTGCTCATGATGGTGATGATGATGCTGGTGCTGGTGCTGGTGCTGATGATGCCGATGAGGATGACATTGATGATGAGGATGCTGGTGCTGGTGATGCTGATGATGATGATGATGACGACGATGTTGATGACATTGGAGACAAGGACGATGACGATGATGATAATGATCGTGCTGGTGCTGGTGCTGACGATGACGATGATGATGATGATGATGATGATGATGATGATCCTGGTGCTGCTGGTGCTGTTGATGATGATAATGCTGATGCTGATGCTGCTGGTGCTGATGATGACGTTGATGATGATGATGACGATGATGATGACGACGATGACGATGACGACGACAACGACGCCGACGACCACGACGACGATGATGATGATGTTGATGATGCTCGTGCTGGTGCTGATCATGATGATAATGGTACTGGTCCTGGTGCTTATGTTGATGATGATGGTGCTGCTGATGATGATGATGACGATACGGATGATGATGATAATGATGATGATGATGATGGTGGGGTTATGGTGATGATGATGGTGATGTTGATGATGGTGAGAGTGACAATGAGGATGATGATGATGATGATGATGATGACGGTGATGATGATGGTGATCATGTTTATGACAATGAAGATGGTAATAAGTACGCCGATGATGACGATGAGGAAGGTGATGGTGACGATGACGATGACGATGATGCTGGTGCTGCTGCCCACGGTGATGGTCATGAAAATGATGATGGATGATGATGATGATGATGATTATGATGATGATGATGATGATGATGATGATGCCGATGCTGGTCCTGATGATGACGATGATGATGACGATGATAAGCGATGATTGTGGTGATGATGCTGGTGCTGGTGCTGATGAGAATGATGATGATGATGATGATGATGATGATGGTGCTGATGAACATGGTGCCGGTGCTGATGATGATGATGAGGATGCTGGTGCTGGTGCCTATGATGATGACGATGCCGATGACGATGATGATGACGACTGCGATTATGATGACGATGACGGTGATGATGATGATGATGATGATGATGTTGATGATGATTGCGATGATGGTGCTGGAGCGGGTGATGATGATTTTGATGGTGATGATGCTGGTGCTGATGATGATGACGTTGGCGATGGCGATGACGATGACGATGCTGATGGTGATGGTGATGGTGATGATGAAGATGACCATGATAATGATGGTGATGCTGGTGCTGACGCTGGTGATGAAGATGATGATGATGATGATGATGATGATGATGATGATAATGATGTTGGTGCTGGTTATGATGATGGTGAGAAGGAAGATGGTGATGGTGGTGGTGATGACGCTGGTGATGGTGATACAGCTGATGATGGTGATGATGATGATGATGGTTGTGGCGATGACGATGTTGATAATACGGTTATGATGATAATGAGGATGCTTGTGATGATG